TTAATGAATGGAGAGAAGCTGGGGACAAGGAGACAAACCCAGGATCATTTTTAGTCTATAAGGTATACTCTAACTAGGATCCTGTGCAGTAACACAACCCCAGGGGCACAACAGCCCATGACATTAAGAATATCTCTGCAAAAATCTGTGTTTGAGCCATGCTGCGTGGTCAGAAGTCCTCTCCTCTGATGGTCGTAGGAGCATCCAGTAGAGATGAAAGCACCCCAATTAATGGGGCATTAATACCCCATTTCTGTATGCAACCAAAGCAGAACCCAATGGCTGCAGAGAACCCGTGCTGCCTGCTCCTGGAGAGCAGGGAAAATCATAAATCCCAGCGATCCGTGCTTTAATTGCTGGCTGACAAGCCGAGCAGTTAGGCTTGGAAAATATTTAGTTTGCTAGCGCAGCAGTCGGGAAGCGTTTGCGGAGTTGCTCAAACAGCTGTCCGCTGCTTATTTCTTTGCGCTTTTGATCGCTTCCCAAAATTGTGCCGTGGGCTCTGAGCTCAGGATTAGGAGATGAAGTGAGCGCGGCAGCCCTTTGCTCTCCCCGCGGTACCCGCAACTTTATAAAAAAGGAGAACAATTGTGCAAGCAGATGATGCATTGAGGAGGAAGCCAGGGTTTGTGCTCTTGGTGTATGAAACCGCACGCTTTATTTCATTTCTTTCTTTATTTTTATTAGTATTTATTTATTTTATTAGTGGACACAGTCCAAACATTCCCTGTAGGAGTTATTTATAGTAGGAGTGGCTGCTCCATTGGTTTTGACAAGGTGTTTTTATCTTTGGCCAGTGGACAAACGTTCCATCTAGTTTTGCATCCCGCGTTTCATGACTTTCAAATCCCCGACATCCCTCAAAGGCTCCTTGAGCTCTTTCTTGGCTCTTGAGCGTGACTTTCCCAGCAGCACAGCTCTGGGTGCCGGGGCCACGCTCCCAAGGCTCCCCACCTGTCTTGCAGCTGCTTTCATCGCTCGCACCGAAGGACTTAAGCGGGGATTACGCCACGACCCCTGCCTTTCCTCCATCTCTCTCCCGCTCACTCTTGCTCTGTCTCTCATTAACCGAGTCTACGAATTTGTTACTAGAGTTGCAGACTCATTGACCCAGATTTGCTAATCGTACGGGGGAGAGGAGATTGCTTCCCTGCCTGATCGCTGGCTTCTGTGTACTCGTAGAGCTATTTATATGCAGGAGAACTAAAAACCCGTAACAAAGATGGGGCCAACTTTGCAGCGGAATTCATGCGTGCACAATGAGAGGCAGAACAGGAGGGAACAGAGGGGACTGCAGGGGACTTCCCTGTACTTGCAGGCCCGTCGGGAGATTTGGGGATAGCAGACCCTGTGGGATAGCAGAAACTGTTCTGAAAATGCAGCACCGTCAAAGCCTGGCTTTGGATGCATCAGGTTTGCTTTCCTTTACCACCAGGAGACAGTTTCTTGGCTGTCTCACCTGTGCAAGGCGATAAAAAAATAAATAAAACCACCTGTAGGTCAAAATATCTTTTCATTTGGTTCCAGATTAGGAAATGCTATTCTGGTTTTGTGGATTTTTTTTTTTATTTTTTTTTTTGTAGTTTAAATGGTCTTTCATTTGCAGGTGATGAAAAGATTTATTTAATTCAAACACAAGCAAATCTGTGGCCAAGTTTAATGGCCAAGCACCTTCAGCCTCAATAAAAGAAGGCAATGGCGAGGCGTGGAAACTCTCGAAGGCACTGGACAGAAGGAAACTGCTCTGTGCTTGTTACGGTAGGGAGGCACAAAGGCAAAGAGACGTAAAGACCCAGGGACAGAGAAGGAATGAAGAAGTGATAAGTCCCTGTTAGAGGGGGTGTTTCTGATTACCTGGGGACGATGTGCTGATGTTTTGCTGATTTCCAGCCCGGCTGGATGAGCCTGACCTTACCAGCACGTGCCGGCAGCGCTGCGAGCCGTGGATGCACTCGCTCTTGGTGCCAGAGCTGCCAGGTGGGGACGTGGCCTCGGAGAGGTTCCTGCATGGCTGAGTCCTGGGGCTGGGTGATGGCTTCTCGCTCAGGGAGGGGTTTTGTCAGCACCTTTCAGCCTCGGGGCAGGCCTTCTGCCATGCTTTATTTTCTGCTTCGAGCCAGCTGGTGCAACGTGGAGGTTGACAGTGGTGCTGTAGCTGCACTTTTGGTTTTCTGGCTCCGATGCTGCTGTTGTTATGTGGCGTTCGGTGAACTGGGAGAGCGAGGGCCTGGGGTTGTTTTCCTGCCAAGGCAACTGCTCTTTCCCTGCTGCTTTTCAGCTGGCATGGTCGTGCTTTGTGTGTGCAGGAGCTCCCCACGGCACACAAGGTGCCTGCCTCGCCAGGTAGTTATGCTCTGTGAGAAATGTGTCTTCTCTCCTCTCCCCTCCTTCCCAAGTTAGTCTCGTAGAAAATGTCACCAAAGCCGTGTTTCCTGCGATTCTCTCCAGGCTCTTACATCTCCTTGACACCTCAATTTCTATCTCACTCTGTCACAAGTAAGCCGTGTAGATTTTTTAACTGGCTGGAAATCTGTCTGGAGTTAAAGGCACAGGCAGGGAGACCTCTGTCGAAGCAGGGCTCTGGACTGGTCATGCAAACCACAGGGCTTTAAATGGGGCTATTTATTAATTGTACGGTTGTGTTTTCCAATGGGTGCATGTTTGAACCACCAGGATGTCTGGAAACGAGGCGGGTTTCATGCAGCAGCCGTGCGGTGCCGTTGGTAGCCTGACTGCAAACTCACCCCGCCGAGCGTGGAATACGTCAAAGCCGGCACTTCCCAGAGAGCTCCGACACGTTTTTCAGATTAAAACACGAAACCCAAGCGCCAGCAAAACACACCGTCTAGGCAGAGGGCTAAATTTATATGTGAACAGATTTTTATCTCTTGTTCTCAGCGGATAAGATCACGCCGGGGCAGCACGGGGCTGGGCTTTGTTCAACGCGCAGCGGGGCGAGCGCGGCGCCGACCCCGCTCCTGCTGCTCCGTGCTCGCCTTTGGGTCTGTGAGGGTGGAACTGCTGGAGTGCCCTGGGTGCATGAAATGTGACCGCATCGTCCCGGCCTGTTGGGATTTTCCTGCTCGAAAGCCAAAGCCACCTTGCCCCCGCTCTCCAGGAGGCTGGTTTAATGTTCAACGGGGCTGTTGCAGCGGCGCCCCAGCTGTCCAGTGTCGTAGGAAAAAGTTGTAATGCTGCTGATAGAGAGGAGCCATAAAGATAAGGCACAGGGCATGGGGTGAGTTCCTTTTCTCTTGTGCAGTCAGTGTTAGTGGGTCAATGCCACGCTGCACGCCACCCTTCAGCCTTGGCTGTCCCCGTGCGCACAAGACGGGGCACCACGCCGTGCTCTGCCAGCTGCTACCACCGGGACTGCTCCCAGGGATTGCCGTTCCCCTTACATCCCCCTTTATCCTGTCTGTGTTCCTGTTTGGCACCTGGCTGGCCTGTATCTTGCTTGCCCTGCAATCCTGCGCTTCGTTTGTCAGGGATTTATCCCCAGGTCCCAAGGAAAGGGACACGGGGCGCAGCGAACACCTCTTGATGCCGCGGTTGTGCAGTCAGTGCTGACCCTGGGGTTACGCACGGCACACCAGGAGCACGGTGCCCTCCTCCTCCTTTCCTCCCTCATCATTTTCTTCCTCTGCCTTTTCTTCCTCTTCCTCACAGTGCTCCTGCCGCCCTGCTGGGCTGGCTGCATGGGGCCAGGTCTGGCAGCGTTGAGGTCAGCTCCCAGCCAGCTGCCCAGCCTCGTGCCCTGCACAGCAGCGGCTTTCAGAGAGCTCTGGCTCTGGATTTCACCTGCTGCTCTCAGGGGGGTACCGTGCTGCAGCAGACCTGATGCCGTGAACAAATGCGTGAAAAAAATGTGTATTTTTAGAACTGGAGCCGTGGCACATATGTGGAGTTTGTCCAGGGTCTGCCCTGCTGTGGCTTTTTGACATGCAAAACGCGTGTTTAAAAAACAAAAATCTCCAAAGGTCAGCGCAACCTAAGAAACAAATGTGGCTGCCATGCGCGGCTGGTGAGAGCAGAAAGGAAAAGCAGAAAAAACTCCAGCACAAAAAGCAGCAAAACACTGGATGGGAGCTCAGGGCAGCACCCAGGCGTGCCCGGTGCTTCGTGTCCCATCCAATGGCCCGGCACTGAATGGTGATTCAGGGACTGCAGCATCCGAGAGCCTCACCATTTGGGTCCTCCTGGCTTCCCGCGGGCTGGAGGAATGCAGGGTCTCTCTTTTAGACAGGGAAGTGAGGCATAAGGAGCAGAAAGGACTTGCTCAGAGTGTTGTAGGAACCTTGGGGCTGAAGGAGGAGTTGGTGTAGCTCCTGACTGCCCATCTCGGCATCGAGGCACCATCGGGTGGTGTTTCTGCCCTGGGTTTGGCTGTCGTTCCCCCTCTGACAAGTTTTTTGGGTGGGAAAGCCCAGGCAGGAGAGGGGAGGTTCAGCGGGGATTAGAGCACTAGCAGAGGGCCTGAAAGGCGAGCCTAACCCTGAAAGCTGAGCCGCAAACGAGGGCAATTCAGAGGCACAAACATCCTGCTGAGCTTGCCTCGTCCCCTTCGGTACATAATGAGTAAAACACATGCCCGAGCGCGGCGCTGAGCAGGTTTCGGTGGGGAAGCCGTGCCTCCCCTGCCTCGGCTTGTGTCAGGCTCTGGTGCTGGTGGCAGCCGACAGGTGTTCGTGCCGGGGGAGCGGCGTTATAAATAAACGCTCCCTGCATTTCCTCCTGGAGGCTTTCCTATTGTTTAGTCACAATATGCTTTCCTGTTTTGAAAAAACAAAACACCAAAAAAAACAAACAAAAATAAAACCAAACACTGTCCTGAGGTTGCTTTCTGGCAGGGCAGATGGGAAGCAGCTGGAAGGGGGTGTCCCCTGCACCCTCTGTCCTCCGTGCGCCCTCACCGTCCCTGCACGCAGCCCCTGGGCGCCTCGGAGCCTGTCCTGGGAGAACTGCCAGAAATTAAAACTCTGCCTAACGTTAAGATCAAATTAATTTCATATTTTTAATAATTTTTTGGCTTGAAGGCCCCATGGATGCAGGAGGAGCAGGTGAGTGCAGGCACAGCCAGAAGAGCGGCGGCTCCTGCGCGGCGGCACGGCTTGCCGGCACCATTTGCAGGCAGCCCCGCGGAGCAGCACCCAGGGGAGCAGCGGGTGGCATCTTCTGGGCCTCCGTTTTTTGGGAGGCAAGGGCCTGGGCTCTCTGCTGGGAACTGGGGAGAGAAGGGGCTCCCGCAGCCCCTCTGCTGCGGGTGGCAGCGAGGATGGCACCGTGGGATGCAGCAGCCGGGGGCTCTCTCCTGCCCGTCTCCCCCAGGTCGCTGCCTTCTTGGTTCTTGGCGCTGGAGGGGTGAAGCCCCCGCAGGCAGGAGGGCAGGGTGGTGTTTGCTCACGGTGGTGCACAGCAGGATGAGCGGGTCACAGTCACGTGCAGGTCGAACAAAGCGCACACAAAGGCCCTTTTCTTTAGCCTCTGCGTGTTCCTGTCGTAATTCAGGACTGCCCCGTTTGCTCGGTGGAAGCAGGAGCTGCCAGCCTCAGCTCTTCGGCTCCTGTCGCAGATGGGTAATGCAGTGCTCAGCTCCTGCAGACACAAAGATGGGGATTACTTCCCAAATGCCTTCATTGATGCCAGCCAAAAATGCAAGCCCCAGCTTCTCGCTGCCTTCTGGGTTTTTCCCTGCTGAAACGGTCCCAGATGAAGTGGTGGTAGCCCCGTGGTGGTGGTCGCAGGGGAGCCTGGTCCCACTGCATTTGGGGCTGTGCAGGAGGGAGCATCTCTGCCTCGGGGAACTTACAGCTAAGGCTTAAGATTAGAAGTGTTTCTTTTTTTTTCTTATTTTTTTCTTTTTTCTTTTTTTTTCATTCCTGCTTCACGCTTCTGTGAACTTCACTTTAGGCCTCAAATCTGCTTTTTTCTGAAATCAGTCTCGAAATTGCTATTGACTTGAAGTGCTGCAAGATCTCGCTCATAAATTCTCCTTCTCCCATCTGTAGAGGGAGGGTGGCAGGATTTCTGCGCCATCTGTGGTGCTGCGAAGCTGCAAGCACGCGTTGGTTACAAGGAGCTCTGAGCTCCAGCGGGAGGCTGCGTGTACCGGCGAGGCTCTGCGGGATGAGCTGTTCCTTCCTGGGGCTGTTGGGTCTGGCACCCGAACCAGGGGCTGGGCTGGGAGCTGGGGAGAACACGCTGGCGATGCAGGGGGAGTGCTCCAGCTGCGAAATGTCTCGATGTGTGCACTGCTCAAAAGCAATGTTCATCCTTACAGAATTAAGGGACAGGAGCCGGTGGCTGCACAAAAACGCGAGGCGTGCCCCTCATCCTGAGCACCTCTGATCTTAACAAGCGTGACTCTCACAGACTGTGGGAATCTGGCCCCGGCCGGCCAACAGGATGATTTAACCACACGTGCCTTGAAATAGGAAACGGGGAGCCAGAGTGAGAGCATCAGGCCCTTCCGACTGCAGTCGGATGCATCTGACGGGAACAAAGGGATGCTCTCTGCCCAAGTGCGCAGGGCGCAGAGGGAAGCTGCCTAGCCTTTGCCCCCGCGAGCCACATTTGCCTTGTGTTTGCATAAAGCTGGGGGCCAAGCTGCTGGAACAAAGAGCAGCTTGTAGCCGAGCACGGCATTTTAAGGCTAAAGAGCCCTGTGAGCAGCAGTGCAAAGCAGCACACCGCTGCCCTGCCCGGGGAGAGCCCGCGGCGGAGCTTCCCGGGCTGAGCGCACGCGGTGCCGGGGCCGAGCCCTCATGCTGGGTGCCGTTTTCTCTCCCGCAGACACAAGCCACCAGACCCGCTCCGTCTCCAGCCGCCCCTACTACAGCCTGCCCAACAGCAGCCATGAGAGGCGCTCGGTGCTGGCCGTCACGGAGCCGCCGCGCTTCCACTCCCAAGCCAAGGGCAAGAACGTGCGGCTGGACGCCCACTCGCGCCGCGCCACGCGGAGGAACAGCTTCTGTAACGGGGTCACCTTCACCAACCGGCCCATCCACCTCTACGAGAAGGTCAGGCTGAAGCTGGTGGCCGTGCACCACGGCTGGAGCGGGGCCCTGCGCTTCGGCTTCACCATCCACGACCCCTCGCAGATGAGCTCCGACGACATACCAAAGTACGCCTGCCCCGACCTGGTCACCCGGCCCGGCTACTGGGCCAAGGCTTTGCCAGAGAGGTTCGCCGTCAGGGACAATATCTTGGCCTTCTGGGTTGACCGTCACGGGAGAGTCTTCTACAGTATTAACGACGAGGAGCCGATATTGTTTCACTGTGGTATTAAAGTTTCCAGTCCTCTCTGGGCGCTCATAGATGTCTACGGGATTACCCACGAAGTGCAAATTCTAGGTGAGTGTGTGGCTGGGCTTGCTCTGCTCGCGGCTCTTTCCACAGTGGAGAGAAAATGCATGATCTCTCTGGTTGATCGCTTCCATGGGACACTTAAGAACAACTAATTTTGTTTTTTTTTTTCATCAAATTAATCATTTCTCTTTTGGCAGCAGTGAGGATCCAAAAAGCAGTACAGTTCAGGGATGTCAGTGAAGGGAAGCGCTGAGGCTGTGCATTGTATCAGCTGTGTGATGGGCTACTTGGAAATCTCTACGTGTAACTTTCTCCAGCTTTTACTTAGCTGGCTGTGCTGCTATGGCATGGAAAAACGTGGTGCTGCTTGCCAGCAGGGTCCCAGGGATCGAAGAGACAAAGACAAGCAGCTCTGCTTCCCTTTTCTTTCCCAGCTACTGCCAGTCCACTGGAAAATTACGACCCATTCCCCATCCGTGTCCTGGCACCCTTCCCCAGCCCCCCTCTGAGCTCTCGGCCTTGGTGGCCACCTAATTTGGCAGTTCAGCAAGCTGTGTTTGCAGACGTAACCTGACTTATTCACTTATCCTTCCCTTCTGCACGGGCATCACTGCACGCCTGCAAAGCGCCGGCTGCAGCCCAGGATGAGGAGAGATCAAAAAATACAGTGCAAAATAGAGTTCAAGACCCTGGGCACTGCACGGCACATCTGCCCTCAGCCCTAAGCAGATCCCTGCAATCAGGGGGTGCCTGCCTGCACCTTACAAGGCACCATCCCTGCGGAAGGCTGCAAGAGAGGCTGAATTAATGAGCTGAGTGCCGTGGAAGCACTTTCCCTCTGTGACTTTTACAGCAAACACGTTCAGGGCTAGATGGAGTGTTTTGAACTGGTCGATACCAGAGGGAATCCTTTTATAATACAAGTGCTGCCCTTTCCTGGGGGCTCCTAGGAGCTGATTTAGTGTTAGCAGGCAAGCTCGAGGGGCTGCTGCCTCCACCCTCACACCGAGCAGGCACCATGAAACGGGCTGGTGGGCAGGCAGCCCTGCCACGCATTCCTCAGAGCAGTACCAATTATTTTGCAGCTGAGAACGCTCCACATAAACAGCACTTTGACCTGCCTGCTCTGCCTCAAATGCGTAATTAAACCTTACCAGTAGCTTATCCTGTAATTGCAGCCGTGACGTGCTCCAGCCTCTGGTGCTCATCACAGAGGCGAGGGAGCGTTTGCTGCATTGACCAAGTGCAGCTGCTTCGCCAGAGCAGCCCTTCTTCCTCAGCACATTAGTTAGGAAAACAAAATGCTGCTTATTTCTGCCCTCACGCCTCCCTGCAGCCCTGCCTGCGGCGGCCAAGAGCTCAGCGAAAGCCTGTGCCTGAGGGCTGCTGTACTCTGCCTTGTTTCGGGGCAAAGCACCAAGCCCCACAAGCTGCCCCGGGCATCAGGGCGATGCTCAGCCGCCCGGGGCATCAGTGGATGCAGCCTACAGATGTGGTGATGCCTTAGGAGACGTGTTTGTCTCTCAAACTCCTCCCAAAATTTTGCAAGTTGAGAAAGCTGTGATATACAGACTGAATGCAGATGCACAAAATGCATCTTTCAGCATCACACAGCTCAGCTGTGGCTTACTCCTCCTCTGGGGGCGCATTTCTTGCCACAGTGCCCTTGCCACCAGGACTGCTCTGGCAGCCTCCCCTGCACAGGCTCCTGATCTAAGGCAGCCCTTCCTTCACTGCTGCCTGGATGCATTTGGGGGTTACCTCCTTTGGTAAAACCCCGGTGATTTTCTCCTCCGAGTAGCTGGCAGTGTTGGTGCTGGGATGCTTCACACCTCCCCGTCTTTGGGAAGATGAGCTGAGGAGTCTGCTTTGCTCCAGCACTCTGACTTCCACTGGTTCTGGCTTTGCTTCTCTGGTTGTTGCCTTCCCTCTGGAGTGAAATGTCCAAGGCACCCCAGGCAGTCCTGGAGAAGGAAGGGCACCACTGAACCTCCTCACATCCTGAAATCCCCCTCTCGGCCTGGCATGGCCAAGGTGAAAATATGGGAAGTGAGTTAAGAGTCAGAGTCCTGACCTTCCCTTTGCTGTGAAAGGGGAAAATAACTCTCTTACTGTAAAAAAAAAAAATCATCTTTCTAACACCTGCAGCATTGAGGTTTTGTGACAAATTCTCAATCCAAGATCGCTGCAGTGGTGTGAACACCCCTGAGATCCAAGGCTTGAAATCTTGTCGTAAAACAACCTCTCCTGGGCTCACCTGTGTCTGGACATGTCACAGTTTAAGGCAGCGATGAGTGTGAGAGGAATACAAAGCCATGCTTGTGCTCCTTCACCCAGCGCCGTGGCAGCTTGGGCTCGCACAGGACCTTTGGACGTGGGCACAGGGAGACGTTTCCTCCTGAAGAGAGCAGCTGAGAGCAGTCAGAGCCCTGCGCTCAGAAATCTGCAGAACCAGGCTGGTTTTTTACAGCTTCGCCCAGTTCAGCAGAGCAATTTGCTCGCAGGTGGTGTGGGTATTTCACAACTCTTGTTTCTCCTCAGCTGGTGCCGAGTTGCAGCCGTTCCCCTGCCTGCCCCTCGTGGGATTCTCCAGCCCCGTGTTCGTTCGTGGCTGACCTCCGTCCGATTTTTCTGTTAGAGGAGCAGAATTCAGATAATCCCTAGGCTGAAATAATAACAGTAGAGGTGAGAGTAGCCCGTTGTGCCCTGTCTCTAACGCCCCGTGTCGCTGGCTTTGCCTCGCAGATAGCATGTTTGCGGAGACCATGACCAGCGCCCGCCTCAGCACCGCCCGTCTCAGCACCTGCCTTCCGCAGAGCAGCCACGACTCCGCCAACTTCAACAACAACGAGCTGGAGAACAACCAGGTGGTGGCCAAAATCGCAAACCTGAACCTGGGCCGGGTGCCGGGGCTCGCCACCGACAACCACCTCATCCCCTGCTGCCCAAACCGGCGGCAGCGCGCCCCGGGGGTCCCGGCCTTCCTGGACACGGACCTGCGGTTCCACCCCACCCGCGGCCCTGACATCACCTTTTCTCAGGACCGGATGGTTGCGTGCACCAACTGGCAGGAAAGCAATAGGACCTTGGTGTTTTCTGACCGGCCCTTGCACATCGGCGAAAGCCTCTTTGTGGAAGTGGGACACCTCGGGTTGCCCTACTACGGGGCCCTCTCGTTTGGCATCACTTCTTGTGATCCCAGTACTTTACGGACAAACGAGCTCCCGGCAGACCCGGACTTTCTCCTGGACCGCAAGGAGTACTGGGTGGTGTACCGGGCCTTCCCCGTCCTCAACAGCGGCGACATCCTCAGCTTCATGGTCCTGCCGAACGGAGAGGTGCACCACGGCGTGAACGGAGCCAGCCGGGGAATGCTCATGTGCGTGGACACCTCGCAGTCTCTCTGGGTGTTTTTTACGATCCACGGTGTAATCAACCAGCTCAAAATATTGGGTAAGTGCCTTATTGAAAGGAAGAATAACGGGGAGCACCTGGCTGGCGAGGTGTCCTGGGCCAGGAGGGGGGCGGTGGGCTGCCTGTAGCAGAGCTGCTTGCCAGAACGAGGTGGTCACTGATGTGAGTAAGCAGCTCCTGACCCGACCTTGTGCTGGCAAACAGGAGTGAGCGAGACGTGGTAGGTGTCACACAGATGTACGCAGCCTTTGTAAGGCCACCAGAAAGGGCTGATGATAGCTGAGCGATAGCATAAGTGGCAGGTAAGGAGGCAGGGACAGCTGTGTGTGGGGCTGCCTGGTTTATAAAGAAGTTGTGTGTAGGAAATATTCTTTATAAACCCATGATTCCAGTCAACAGGCACTAAACTCCTGCCTCGTTAAGAGCAATGTTTTTTTGTGAGGGCAGCTCTGGTTTCAGTACATGTTGCTGATGAACAGCAAGCTCTCCAGGTGCTGCCACAGCTCTGGGATCAGAGCTCACTGTTTAAACTCTGCCCCAAAACTGAGACAGCGGCAGCCTGAGGCTGCTGTGCTGCAGGGAGCAGGGCTGCGGGGAGTCCACTTGCACCCCACACTGGCTGTCAGAAGCTGCTCACCAGGCTGAAATACCAACAGGAACCATACGGAGGCACAGCAGGGTCCAGGAGGCAGTGACCCCAGAGGTCCCGGCTAAACCTCTGTGCCCCTGCCAGGGCTGAGGGGCAGCACTTGGCTCAGCAGCTCTCTGCGGGGTGGGAGCAGCTCACCACGAGGGCTCAGCAGAGGGGGCCGTGCGTCCGTCCGCCCGCTCGGGCTGAGCTCTCTCCTGTGCTTGCAGGCACTGTGCAGTCCAGCCCAGTGACCGTCTCGCCCTCAGGGTCCCCCGGCGGCTCGCAGTACGACAGCGACTCGGACATGGCCTTCAGCGTCAACAGGTCGTCCTCTGCCTCCGAGTCTTCGCTCGGTAAGGAGAGCAGCACACAGAGGCTTTAACACCGGCTGCTGAGGGTGCTGGGGCTGTGTAAGATAGCAGGGAAAGCCTGGGGGGAGATGCTACCCCTACTGCGAGGCCAACAGAAATAGTTGGAAGGGAAAGAAAACCGCTGGGAAGTTTTGCACAGCCTGAAGGAGAGCCCTGGGTTACTTCCCACTTGGTCAGCCTAATGGGGGATGTTGCAAGGGGGCTGCTGAGCTGGCAGGGGGGTGCAGTGCCTGGTCTGGGGGTGTGACACTGACCTGGGCTGCTGCTCCCTGCACTGCTGGGTACCCCCATAAATGCTCATGTGTAGTTGTTTGGCCTCAGGCAGGCGGCTGAGAGCTCCCTGTTGGCTGAGAGCTCCTCCTGAAAGGGAGGGCATGCTCTGCACAGACAGTACGCTGGGTCTTTTTTTGGCCAAATAATACAACTAAGGAAGGGTGGGCCTTAAAAAAATTGATGCGAGGGTGTTGTAGGTGGGCTCGCCCCATCCTGCTGACTGACCGACCTCGTTTTTCTCCCCTCCTTCGCAGTGACTGCTCCCAGCTCCCCCCTGAGCCCCCCCATCTCTCCCGTCTTCCCCCCTCCGGAGCCATCAAGCAGCAAGAACGGGGAATGCACCGTCTGCTTTGACAGCGAGGTGGACACGGTGATCTACACCTGCGGACACATGTGCCTCTGCAACACCTGCGGTCTTAAGCTGAAGAAGCAGCTCAACGCCTGCTGCCCGATCTGCCGCCGGGTCATCAAAGATGTTATTAAAATCTACCGCCCTTAGCGCCCGGCTCGGGCTGTAGGAAGGGAGAGCGCCGCTAGCAGTAACCATGCCTTTCCGTCCCTGCTTATGGGTTATCGTGCTGGTCAGTCGTTATCAAGTGGCTCGTTATCTGTGTTTCCTTATTTGACTGGTAGGGCACAATTCAGGGATAAAATTGAGCTGAGGATCACATGGGGCCCAAAGCCAAGGCTGCCGTGCCGGCCGGGCTGCGTGCCCGCGGGTGAATTGGGTGAATTGTGTTAGGGACCTGACCCGGCTGCCAGTGGGAAACTCCCCGTGCAAAGGCTTTTTTTTCCCTCGGAGGATGAGGCTCGTGGTGGTGTGGTCGGGACGGGGACGTTGCCATTTGTTCGGTGCTGAGTGCCACCGGATTTCCCAGCCCCAAAACCCAAATAGCCCTGGGGTGCCTGCGCTGCGGTGGAACAAAATTAGAACAAGGCCCAGTGGTAGAGCTCCAAGTGGACAAAACTGATCTGAAAATGTAATATCCATCCATTTAAGGCGAACTAGCTAAGGCCCAAATAGTAGCACAGCCAGATTCTCACTCGTTTGGGTTTTGAGCAGAATTCTGGGGCACGTGGAGAAGCTGGTTTGGAGTCAGACAAAGCAGCTTTTGCTTTTTGTGGCAGAGCAGGGACTTTTGGACAGGGAGGCTGGGACCCGGGGAGCAGCCATGGGGGTAGCAGCGAGGTGCACAAGCCCAGCGAGAGCCCCGGACAGCCCGAGCTGCTGCAGCAGCAGTGACGGGCAGCAGCAGTGGGCAGCTCACACACCGGCCCCATGTCTGATGCAGCCATAAATGTTAGGCTGGTGTTTGGATGAGCGGGCTGTAATCCCACTTTAGGAAAAGCGATGGGCTGCCATCGGCCAAACCGAGTTTTTATCACACGCAGGCACGTCTGCCTGCATTCTGCTCTGCCTCTGGTTCAGGGAGGTGACATCTCACGGGGCCCTGCCCTGCTCATGTCCCTCACCCTGCCCCTGCCGCCAGCGCAGGGCTCAGCCTCCCTCCCTGCCCACCACCAGGACTTTTTGGAGCCTGTGGTGAGAAATCCACGTCTGCCCCAGTCCCCGCAGGCTCACCTTTTCTTTCTGGGGACTGCAGATGTGCTGGCTTCACCTTCTGCGTTTCTCCTGCCTCTCCAGGTTTCCCAGCATAGCTCCCATTGCCCGGACACTGGGTCCCAAGGGAGGCTCCAGCCATAGACAAGAGCTTCTCGAGATGACCAGGGATGAAACCTGCTTTTACTTGGGAGAAGGAAAGAAAAAGGCTCTGAGGCTGTTATTAGATGTTGGCACTTAAGCAGTAGATGGATTTCAGCTGTGCTGTTAGACAGCCACAAGCAGCAGCAACCCAGAGGAGCTGGGTAGGGGACGAGCAGACAGCAGCGGGCCTTGGTGTCCTTCTCCTTGATGCTCCTGCAGGAGCTTCCCTCCGTCCTCGGCCCCCTTGCAGGCCTCCCCTCTGGCCCTTCACCCCGAGCACACCCCAAGCCTGGTCCAGCTTGGCAAAGAGGTGAAGGGCACGATTAGAGAGGGGCTGATGGCATTCTCGCTCCGTGACCGTGTGCCACCAAGCAAGAAACCCACACCCAGGCACACCCCGGGGCTGCTGGGTGCACAGGGGCGTCCTGCTCCTGCCTGCCCCTTCTTGCTGTGGGTGCACCGCCGGCTGTCCTGCGCTGCTGGTGGTGCCAGGCTGCGTGGCTGCTCTCGGTCCCTGGCCCAGAGCCTCTCTTACCTCATGGGAAGCACACCCAGGGGAGCAGATAACCCGTCCCACGTCGAGCCGCAGCTGCTCGGAGGCTGGCCCAACGTGCCAGCTCGCAGGGCACGGAGAAAACTATTTTCCTTTTTTTTAAACTTGAAGAGCTAATTAGCATTTCCATTAAGTGTATAAATGAGAGGCTACTTTATAGAGTGAGAGCTCTCAGACACTGCCCTGCTGCATCAGCACGAGAGCCTGCTGGCTTTGCAGAGCCCTTTTTGGAAACGCGGCTCAGCGCTGGCCACGCAGCATCAGCATGTGCTGAGCCCCGGCAGAGCCATGGGCGCAGCGACCGCTGCACGTTCGCCTTTGCAAAACGCAGCGGTGAGTTTTCCAGCTTTCTGTCTTGCAGTTTTCCAGCAGCTGAAGCCTTGTGCCGAGCTTGATGCTGCCCGGCGTGGTCCTGCCCAGCCTCCGGTTGTAGATAAGGGCGCAGCCGTGGTCACCGGGCACAACGCCGGGTGCCGCGGTGGCAAATACGCAACTGCAGGGTGAATCCTGGCCAGGTGGGTTCGGCTGTGCCCGGCTGTGAGCGGGCTGCGGTGGGCAGTTTGGCCTGTCGAGGTGTTCAGGGAAAGCTGTCTGACTTCACAGTGAGCGACACTGGCTTGGAGCAAGCTGGGCTAACAAATGCCAGCCAGACCCCACGCCGCAGTCCCTGTTTTGGGGTGCCCTGTGCCATTCAGTGCCAGCCCCCAGCCACCTGCACCGCCTAAAGTGCAGAGCCCGCTCGCTTGGCCGACCCCTCGGGTCTCCAACAAGCAGGGCTGGCTGCACGCCTGGCTTTTTTCTCGGTGTAGCTCTTTTCTTTCAAGCTAGCACGGAGAAGCAGTGAAAGCACTCGCTCCAAGCTGGCAGCCGAGCTGATCAGGTCGCACAGGTTTACTTTGCGCTGTAGCAGCTGCGAGGGATTTCAGGGCACGGCACCCAGCAGGGCCAGCAGGGGAGCGAGCTCGCTGCGGGTGAGGATCCTCGCCGGGGTGCTGAGCGTGGCCGAGCAGCGGTAGCCGAGGCGCCCTGCCTGCCTGAGGGCGACAGGGATGTTCCAAAATGGGCGCAGAGGCCTCTTAAAAATGATTTCCAGGAAAAGGTAGCCTCTTACAGATTTAACCGTTCGTACTCGTATTGCTATTTTTTTTAACCAGTCCGATGAGATATGATTTGTACAGAAGATCTGTTTGTGCCTTATAAGGGTGTCTGTGCACTTTTTATCCTTTCTAAAGCGACTTTTAAAAAAAAAAAAAAGAAAAATGGGGAGAAAATATCACAGATCAATGGTAGTTTTATAGATTTTTTTTGTGTGTGTTCATCAAGAATCCTGCTTTATATATATATATAAACGTATATATATAAATTTAGGAGTGAAAAAAGTGTTTATTCCTATGGATTCCCACCCGCTCCCATTTGTTTTAAAAAAAAAAAGAAGAGAGAAAGCAAAAGCGGAGTAAGGGGAGCCCTTTGACCTTGCCCCTTTCCAAGCCAGTTACTCTCTTGGTGTTACCTTCACGAGTCCATGCTGTGACCTGGACATCACGGCGAAGCTGAAGCCTCTGCGTCAGGCTTGCCGAGCAAATCATCGGGGGACCGGGGTGGGGGTGGGTCGCACGAGGGAGGGAGCTGCACTTCTACATGTCAGTACTCTATAGCGTTGTGTTCAGTGCTGTGTGTGTTTTATTTTTGTCCATTTACCTGTTTTACATTAATATAATTTTACTTGTTTATGAAACAAATAAAATTTTGGCTTGTAAAGAGGGCTCCTTGACGCTTAAAAGTGACCAGAAGGCTGAGCAAAAGCTTTTCCTCCAAACTGGGCTAAGCTGGAGGCTCAGGGATGCTGCCTGCCCCCTGCCCCTGCAGGCAGCCCTGCTCCAGGACATTTAAATACCTTGCAGGAGCTTTGCTTTGCTCCACAGAGGTCACTGCACAGCGGCTGCTCCGTCCCTTGAAGGCTCATTTAACCTTGCAAGCCCTTGAAAACTTGGCAGCCCCTACAGTAAAAAGCAAGGTGCATTTTTGGGGCTATCGAGGTAGGAAGGGGCACCTGCTCCAGCCACTTGCAGCTCTGTTCAGGGAGGGGGCCATGTATCGGGGCAGGAGGGCTGCTGGACTCATTATTTTTTTTTATCCCATCCCCTTGAGCTGCCTGGCTCTTTATTTAACAAGCCGAGGTCGACGGCAGCCTGTGCTGTAAACTGTTTATATTCTGAACTGTGGCCGGTTGAAGCCAGACACCAGTCAAGTCACCTCAGATGCAGTTTGAAGCGGAGGAGAAGAATTCATTCATAACTCTGCCCTGGCAGGAGCGCAGCCACGCTGACGTGTTTGCGCTAAGCCCCACGCAAGCTGCAGGTGGTGAAGGAGCCCGACAAGGGCTATTTATGGCCAAACGCCCGGCTATGGGCTGTGTGGCCCAGCTGTACCCAGCGGGCTGATGCTCCCGAGCTGCCACCAGCCTCACGCTGCAGGGTTCAGGCAGCACTTGGCATCGGAGCAATGCACCCCTGGGGCGAGGTTGCAGGACCACTGCCTGCTCCCATCACCTGCACCCGCAGCCACCAGCCTGGGCACGGTGACACATGTCCCATGGGCTGCAGACCAGCTCTGGTTAGGGCTCTGCCTCGTGGGGAGCCACAGCAGCGCTGAGCATTGGGACGCATCCAGCCCCGCACGGTGCCAGGAGCGGCGAGCCCTGGCAGGGTGGGAGCAGCGAGGCACCACTCCCTGCCCCTCGGGCTGGGGACAGGCCCCGTGCACGGTGCTGCAACACCCCAGGTTATGGCACCGGCCCTGAATTTCTCCTCCATTCATTCCTGCTGCGTGGTGGCTCCGTGCAGCAAGCGGGCTTCAGGCTGTCGGGGTGCCAGCCACACAGCGTGGGCTCCCAGCACGGGGCACGTGCTGCAGGCAGGTGAGCAAACAGCAGCTGGAGAGATCGGCCCTGGTGCTGCAGGTAATTCAGCAGGCACTGGGCCATTGCCTGCTGCCTGCACAGCCCTGCCCGAGCTCCTTGCAGCCCTGCGCAGGATGGGGACCTGGGGCACAGCAGCGAGGGGGGAGCTGGGTTATTTCCAACCAGGGCCTGTAAGACCAAAATCCATCCTCAGGGTCTCCTTCATGTCACCGCCATGCGACTAAGCAGCAGCTCTTTGTGTGTGCTGTGTCCCCCCTGAGCAGCCCCCTGCCCTGTTATCCAGCCACATTTCACACCTCCAGGACGCTTTGCTCAGGTCCCTGCGTGGAGCTGCCACCGCCTGGACAGGGAGCAGCTCAGCCCAGACACACGCCAGCCAGGGGTTCACAAGGTGCTTGAAACCAGTCAAGCCATTTCTTTTATTTCTTAAAAAAAACAACAGACGAAAAATTAAAAAATAAAGAAACAAACACAAACCACAAAAAAAAAAAAATCAAAAACAAAACCCCCAACCACCCCCCCCCCAACGAATTAAAAATAAAAACCAGAACGCAACCCCTACTGGTGAAAGTACAGATACGGCATTTACACGGCTACATCTATCTTCCGCTGCCACCCCCGCCCGCCCACAGCAATGTCGATTTCTACGCGCTTACACAACACAGCGAGACACAGACAAACAGAACGGCTTCGGGAGCATGTGAGGTGGCACGGGGGGGCCCCCAACCCTCCTCTGCCCCCCGCCGTGGTGATGCCCCCGCCTCGGGCTGTGCTGGTGCTGGGCGAGGAGGAAGCTCGGGCTCGGACCACGGCGGTGCTCAGGGTCCCAAGCATCCCAGGCCACCCTCCTCCTTCTCCTCCTCCTCACGAGGTAGTCAGGAGAAGGCGAGGAGACGCGGTCTGCGTGGCCACCAAGCACGTGTCCCCTGCCGGGTGTGGGTTTTCCAGTCCCTTTGCAGACAGGGGGGCAGAAGGAGGGGTAAGGCTCCCGGTGTTGGCACCCTGTGTGGGTGAGTGACCGTGCTGGCACGCACCCTGCCTCCTGGGAAGCTCTTTGGGAACAAGGGACCGATGCTGCCACGTGCCCGCTGAGCCAAATACAGTACTTGTGTCAGCAAAATGAAGCGCTACCAGTTCTGAGGCTCGGTCTGGGAGGAAAGCAGAAATAGCCCTCATTTAGCACGGAAGCAACAGAAAGAGCATTGTTCCCTACGAGGAAAAATGGGATCAGTGAGGTCTGTGAGGCAGAGAAAGGAGAGAGCCTTCCGAGCCTAAAAGGACATTCAGCACCATGAGCGAGGATGCAGCGCCATGGGAAACGGGCACCCCGCCACCCCCTGCGTGACTGCCAGCAGCCAGAGCGGGTGGGGGGACACAGCTCCTCCTGCCCCCTCCCCAGGCACAGTGGGGCTGCACCTGGCTGCTGGGCAGCGCTGCCCTAACTGGCCTGTCCCCCGTCCATTTCCACGGCAGGAGAGTTTTCATGGAGCAAGGGATGTGCGGAGACAAGGCAGCGTTGTTCCCTGTAACTCTCACAGGAGCACATCAACACCTCTCGATGTGCCACGCACGCAGCTGGGTTACTGGGTTGGGTTGCAGCTGTATTGCTTATTGCCAGCTCAGGTGAGTCAGCCCGATCAGAGGCTGATGTGTGATCAGAGAAACCTGGGGGTGGCAGGGAGAGGAACCAGCCAGAGATCGGGGTGCATGAGTTCCCAGGGCTGAAAACAAACCTCGGGGCTTCTGGATGGACTAGGATGGCTTCTCTGTCTATAAAACAGGGCTGGGACAAACTGCCCGCCCCATCACCTTTCCAAATGACCCTGCCCTGAGGCACCACCACGTTTGTTCTGTATGTACAGAGAGCTATCTTTAAGTCCACGTTTCCAGCACAGAAAGTGTGGGACAAGGGAAGGCAGCAAGTGCTCAAGGGAGTGGATAACACTCCTCCTGCACGTAGAGTGCCCTCAGTTCTGCTGGCCTCAAATTAGAGGGAAAACTCTAATTGTTTTCAGCAGCACAACAGCGTAGCCGCAGACCTGCATCTGCAGCACTTACACTTGTAATTAGAATGGAAAGGGCAAACGGGCTTGGTCAGCCGCAAACCCACAGAAGTGCCAGGCACGAAGCTCTTCCAGAGAGAAACGCGGCCCTCGATCTGCGAGCAGCCACGTACGGGCAGGAGGAAAGCAGCACAAGGGAGCAATAGGTGAGCAGACCCCATCCATCCTCCCGCTGGGATGAACATCACTGCTAGCAACATCAGACCTGGCAGGCAGGATGGTCAGCGGGGAAAAAAACCCAGCTCCATCTGACCTGAAACCCCCAAAACTGACCAACACACAGGGGGAACTGAAAGAATCCGGGGTGCGGGATGACAGAAAGCTGGGGTGGCAAACAAGGCAGGGAGCAACCTGAGCACCAGACACGCCTCACAACTGGTTGCGATGAGGAGCTGAACTCCCACATTCTGGATTGCACTTGATAATATCAGCACCTACTGAGGGACCCACCTGCTGGCTGCTGCCCGCCAGCCCCGGGAAGCTCGGTGGGTCGCGGGACCAGGCAGGCCCCTATCAGTCCGACGGGCAGCGCAGTCTGTGGTGGAAGGAAAGCAAAGCATCCTCTTGCCAGGGCTTCTGGGGTCATTCCGGTCCTCTGTGTGTTGCATAGTATTCTTCAGCTACCGAAGCAAAACACCTCTTGTTGGGTTGTAATACTGCAAGGTACGGTCTGCACAGTGCCCTGGCTCAGCAGAGAGGACCTGTTCTGTGTGTGCGCTTGTGTGCATTTTTTTTTAATTTTTTTTTCTATTTTTTTCCCACCAGAAGGATGTTTAAGTTAACACTTGTCGTTGCAGAGTGGGGAAGGACCATGGGACTGTCCCATGACGTGTGCAGGGAAAAGCAGGGCAGAGCGTGGAGTGCAGCACCTGGCTCCTGGCGTGCAGTCGTGGCTGCACATGCACGCAGAGCTACAGGGACCCTGTTCTGAGGAATCGTCCCACATTTTTGCCACATCTCCTATGACCCTGCTACACATTTGGACTAAGCAATGCGACGTACAACATTCAACCGTGACCCTGAGCCTCAGGGAAAACCAAATCCCCCCATGAGGCCAGATTTCCTTCACTGGTACCAGGGCCAAGCTGCATTTCTCCCCCTGGCTGCCGCCGCCTCTTGATTTTCTGGGACAGATGGCAAAAACCACCTATCGAGGTCAACTTCCCCAGCATGGAGAACCATGGAGAACCATGCTGGGGCCCCGACACCACAAAGTGTGGCCAGGGCAGCCCGTGGCAGCCAGCCAAGGCAGAGCAGGAGCTCGGTGGGACGCGATGGGAGCGGGAGGCTGGGCTGCAAGGGGCGAGCGCGCTGCCTCCGAAGGGCACCAGCTGGAATGTGTGGTATCTCAATTATTATTATTTCTCTTTTTTTTTTTTTTAAAGCCAGCCTTGTGGAAAACTATAAATTAATAGGCTAATTAAATACTCAGGTGGGAGAACGGGGAACCTCCGACCATGTAAACAGAGGACAGGCTATGGCTTCTTCCGCAGGTAGTTGGAAGGGATCCAGCCCTCCCAGCAAGGGCCCCCAGTCAGCACCTTGCAGAACCACCAGCCGCTGCTGTTCTTCTCACGCACTTCAAACAACGTCCCTTCTCTAAAGCTGTTGGTCTCCTCGTCGCCTTCAAAATCTGCGACGGCCACGTAGAGAGCTTCCTTGGAGATGTCCGGGTTGGAGAAAGGGGCTGACGTCCTCTCCTTGCCTTCCCCTCTCTCCACCGGCTTGGATATTACCTTTGGGCCTAAGCCGCTTTTCGCTTTGGCTTCGTCTTGGATCGCAGCGGACAGGAAGGGTTTGGCTTTGGGAGGAACCAGCATGGGTCTGCCCGGCAGCGGGGAAGCCCTGGCCTCGGGTGCGGGGCCAGCAGCAGGACACGCTGTTTTTTTGGGTGGCGGTGGCCTGCGGGGCGGCACAACCGGGCGCTGCGGCGCGGGCTCCCGGGCAGCTGGGACGACGGCTGGGCCTGGGGGAGATTTGGGCAGGGGTTTGCTCTCCACGCTCAGTCGCTCCTGAAACCTTCCAGAAGCCTCCGGGGCGACCGTGGTGTTACCGCAGGAGCTTTCGCTGGCGGCGTTGTCCGGCTCGGGGGGTTTCTCGGGGCATTTTGCAGGCCTCAGCTTGCTCCGCAGGCTGCAGATGTCCAGTTTGTCGTCAGCTGGAGGGGGGTCAGTCCGGGGGGCTGCAGCGGGTTTGGGCCTGATCTGAGGTCTTGACTTCAAGAAGGGGTTCTGGGTGATTGGCTCAGGCTTGTCCTCCACGGGCTCAGGTTTTGGCTTGGTTGGCTTGACGATGGGCCGGAGGTTGGGCTTCTTCACCTCCTTGGCCGACACCTTGTGTCCACATTCCAGCCCCATTTCGTTTTTCAGCTGGAAGAGTTTGCCTTTCTCTGATTTCAGCTCGGGCTTCTTGCTGTCTTTTGGGGCTACCGACTGCTTTGGCGGGATCATGGGCAAAATCATGCCTGGGGGCTTGGGGGGAGGCCTCTGCCTCTCCAGCAACTCGCCTTCCGACTTAATGATGGACTCCTTCCTGGGCGGCAGGCTGGGCTTCTCCTCCACCTCACGGTCCGAGATCTCCTCATACCCACAGGCGAACGCAAGGTCGCTGCTCTCAGCAGCCTCCTTCCCCTTCCAGTCCTTGGCCCACTTCATACCGCAGTCCATGCCGTTGGGGGGAGCCTCGGGCAGAGGTCTGCACGGCCCCGTGGCTTCCTCGCCGGCGCTGCTGTCCGCCGCGGCATCGCCCAGCCGGAGCTGGGCCATCTCGTTGGGCAGAGGAGCCAGGAAGTTCGGCCTGGATGCGTTGCTGGTTTTCTTGTACTTGTCAATAAATGTAGCGGGGGCCCAGCCTTCCTTCTCCTCAATCTGAATGTACCACCAGCCACTCAGGTTCTTCTCAATGACCTGCGGGAGGAAAGGAAAGTTCAGACACACACTCAGCAGCCCCCTCTGCACAAAAGGGGATGTTCAGTATCTCCAAAAAGAGATGCTCGGTATCTCTGAAGTAACATCAGGGTGGCACGTAGCTTCCAGGCTCCTGCCTCCCCAACCTGATATCCAAATGCTGTATAACCACAAGGAAAACCAGCACAAATGATTTTTACAAGTGGGTGTTCAGCTCAGCACAAAAAGTACAGAACCAGTATCCAGCTGGGAGGGAATCCTACTGAGGGGACCTGAACTTCATGAGCTGGGAGCAAGGAGTGACATAGCCACGACGAGGATGCTGCAGCAGACAAGAACAGGACGCCAGGTACTGGCAGTGGCCACTGAGTGGCACTGTTGGAGTGATTAACCAGCAGCATCACTGCGCTGATCAGCAGCCATCCGGCCTGTATGCACTCCAGAAGTAGGACTGGGACGAGCAGACTGGGGCAGCCATGGAGGAAAAATCCTCTTAAACAGGCACAGTGTACATTTTGAAAAGCAAAATCACATCTACAACAGCGATTCTGCGAGCAAAACTGGGTGTGCAATTCTGGAAGGGCTTTTAGTGTTACACCTGGCCTAAATAAGAAAAAAAAAAAGTAATTTCTACCCCCATTTGTGATGAAGTTTTATTTCCATTAGCTCAAACAACACAGCACACACATGCTCAAGGGACAGGAGCACCTGGGACCCTAAAGTCTCACGAGCTCCTGCTGTGTGATGTCCACAGAGGTAATCACAAGCACTGTTCTGATGGCAAGATGCGAGGAGGGAAGACGACAGACTCACCTCTACTTTCATTCCTGCCTGGAAGCTGATGCCGTCAGGGATGGTGGTCTGGAAGTCAGCGATGGTGTAATATTCCTCTTCCACTTGAGGAGGGACAGGAGGTTTAGGCAGGTTCAAACCACGTGGCTGTGACAATAAAAAAGAAAACCCATCAGCATGTCTCTACAGGAGGTGTAACACAAGGTCCACATAGACAGAGGAGTCTTAAGGCAGCAGGGAGGTGGTGTGCGTGCTCTGTGCACTTACTATGGTGAGATCTCGGCGAGGAGGGGGTCTCTGCCGCATCTTCGGTGACTCTGTGGAGGAAGAATTTCAGATGCTGTTGAAGGTCTGGCTTTCAGTCACACACTGCATTCCCATAAGGCAAGTGAAAGAGAAGGCAGAAAGGCAAGGACTAAGCCTGCCTCAGGCAAGCAAGCCAAACGAGGAACCTCTCTGCCTGGTACCCTGAGTGATGCAGGTCACCCAGGTTCCAAGGTTATCCTGCTGGAAGAGGAACCAGCTCTGCACCATCAGGTGCTGCTGGGAAATGCAGCTGAGGTGACCACACAGAACTGCTTTTTCAACCCAAAGACCTGACCTGCTGAGGGATTAAACTGTGCAGCTCCTGTGGAGAGGCATCTGCAGCTGAACCTGCAGGCTGAGAGGCCCTTATTTATTCACACCTCTGCTGCTCCTCAGCAGACCCCGGGGCAGCACTGCACCCATGCCAGTGTCACCTCCAGACCTTGCTGCAGAGCTCACGGTGCCTTGCAAGCCTTCTGCCTCTCTTTTGAGCTATGTTGCCCAAAATTCTGCAGGATAGGCTGCACTGACACCTTCCCAGCTGGCCACTTACTGCGTCGGATGTCAGCGTTGGGCAGGGGACGGCTGTCGAACCTCCCGTCCCTTTGGCCGGCGAGCCCGTCCTTCTCTCGGCTGGCCACGATCTGCTGCCGGGAAATGCCGTCCAGATCCAAGGCACAGGAGTGAGTGGAGGAGCCTGAGCCCAGCTTCTGCGAGAACATCTCTCCATTCCCCTTTTTGAGATAGGAGGCGGGGGCCCAGCCTTCTTGGCCCTGGTACCTGCAGCGACAACAACAGCAGCGTCACTGTGCCGAGCCTCAGTGCTGCCTCGAGCCCATGCACGGGGCCACCACGTGTCCCTGGGGCCGGGGCTCAGCACAAGCCTGGATTTGGGCAAAGTGAGCTCGCTCGGTGCCAGGCTCCATGCCAGGTGGCACCTGGAGAGCCGCAGCAATGACTGATGCTCCATGCAGGCCGCTGCAGCCAGCAGGCCGAGGGCTGGGAACGGCGAGGAGCCCGATTTCCTTTTCACCTCAGCGATGGCACCGGTTCAGGAATGAAACGCACTGGCAGGGGAAGCGAAGGGGAAAACCAGAGGGTTGCTGCTAGGATTGATGTACCTGTTCTCTGGATGAAGCTCAGCCTGGATCCCTTCCCTGCTCTAAATCTGCGCTGTTTAGGAGAGGAACCAGCGCTGTGATCTGATTGAAAAACCACATCCACGGAGTCTGCCTGCCATGCTCGAGGGTCTTGCGCCAGCGTCGGAGACGCTCCTGCTGGCTGGGCTGCAGCCACTGCACTCACATGGCACCGGATCCTGAGCTTGTAATTGCCTTTGGAGTTCTTGTGGCAGCTCTCCTCTGCTCAGAAAGTCAATGGACATTTTTCTGGGGCTTTGCTTCTGCCAATACCACAGGTTCAACGCAAGGTTAAGAAAACCGTGGCGTATGCTCCCACCCTGCTCAAGTCCAGCCATTAGCTAAGGCCACAGAGAAGCAAAAACGAGCTTCCAGGAGAAAACAAGTATCAGCTCAGGATGATCGGGAGCGTTTGGCCTCAGCACACCCTGTACACAGCAGAGCTGGCCCGGACAATGGCCCTGCTCCGCAGGAACCTCCAAACACAGCCAGAGCATCCAGCCTGCCTCCAGGACACTCGCTGCTTTTCCTATCAGCAGCACATGATGTAACATTAATGCTCCCGGACCCGCTGCTGGGGCATGTGATGCCGTGACGCAGTCCACCTCCCCAGCACAGGAAACTGAGGGATTTTCAAGATGTTTAACCACAGCTATGCTTGGCTGAAACCTTGAACTTCAGTAAGCCTTGGTATTTAGGGATGGAGAGAAATGAGTTCTGCTACTCTGCCCTCCTCATTGCTCTAGGCTTGCCCTTGGACTGTGCATCGGGGTCTCTGCTTTGCATAGCCTGCAGTGCCAGGGAAGGGCACGAGGCAGGGACGGTACCTGATTTTCCACCAGCCCTCCAGGTTCTTCTGGATCACCTCCACCACAGCCCCTTTGTCCAGGTTCATTTCATCCTGGTCTCTTGCAGTGTATGGGTAAATAACTGTGTACTTCTCCTCTGTAGGAAAGAAAGTGGAGTTTTACTAAGATATTGTTTTACAGAAACCTGGAAATAGTGGCTAAGTGTTTTCTGTGAACAGTAATTCTTGTTGTAACATAGGTGCAAACACACAGAGATACACAACTGTTCAGAAAAAAAATGCCAGTGAAATGAATTCCAAAACAAACCCAGTTGCATTTTGAAATGTAAGCTTTGGTGAGCTTCCCCTATGACAGCCAAGGTGAGGAGGCACTGAATGCCCACTTCTTTTCCTTTCACCCTCTCACATCCACCCAGCCTGTGGTCCCAGCTCTTGCTCTGGGATCCTGTGCTACTCGCTGACCACAAAGATACAGCATAGGAAGCTGCTTGACCCCAAAAAGAACCCAATCCCAGCTACCACCACGGTCTTTAATCACTTTCATACATCGCTCAAGCTTCCCCTCCCAGTTGCTTTTTGCCTTCATCCTCCTGAATAGCCACTGTTCCTGAAAATGCTCTCCTCCAGGGCTTGAAAACACATCCAAACTGGGTGCCCGGCCCTTTCTCTTTGCCTTCTTGGAAAAGCACAGCTCACGAAAGACCTGATTCCCCTCCCGCTTCATGCAAATGAGTCAAAGCAGCAAACGTCCTGCCCCATCCAGCAAAACCAGGTCGGCTCTTCTGCTCTTGGTGCTGCCTGAGCCACCGACACCAGGACCTGGCTGAGAGCAGGGACTAAGGCAGCAGCTACAAGAAGTTCGCATAAATGTTTTTGGGGACAGCAGGGACTCCAGTCTCTGTACCCAAAACAAGCCTCAAAAAGTTAGAAGGAACAGCTGATAGCGGAAAGAGAGGTGGACGTGAGTGAGCTGATGGAAGGCTGAGGAGCACACATGGCACATACCGAGGAGGACACAAGCAGAGTCCCTCCCATGCAAAGCAAACAAACATGCACACAACAAGGCTGCAGGCACAAAACCAGGCCAGCTGAACACGTCTCTACAAAGTCCACCTTGACCCCATCCACTGGTGTACAAGTCCCCAAGGGTCCGACGGCGGCCAACGTGCCTGGGCAGGGACCAGTATCTCCACGGGACTGGGAAGAGCATGTTGGGGAAGCAGGAGAAGGACAAGAGAGGACGTAAGGAGGCAGCACTTCGGGTCTCAGAGGAAACAGGGTTGACAGCAGAGAGAGGCACAGAGCTGTACTCACCTGGAGCTCTCTGGGCGCCCTCCCTGGTTTGAACCCCCATCCCACCTCCATCTCCCCAGGAAAAGGGCTGAGCAAACTACAGCACTGCTCTGAGCATACAGCGGTCAGTGGAAAGGATGCGTGCTGCAGGGCTGGTTCACATTTACTGTACGCAAAGGTTGCAGCTTTGCTACTCTCATCACGTGAACTCACGCATGCTCTTGCTTTCTGCATGACATCAGACTACACAGGAATTGTCCTAGGATCTGAGGTTTGCTCCTCCTCCTCCAGTACATGCAAACCACCTCCCTGGGAGCACAGGGGGCATCGTGATGGCAGGACTGGGTGTTCCCCAGAGGTGGCACCTTCAGCCCCTCTGGGGGAGCAGGAAGGCCAGCAGCTGCACTGCCAGCATCCCGCTGCCACACTCCTGGTGCAGCACTGGAGCAGAGCGGGCAGACACGACTGTGGCACTTGTGGGTTTGTCCTCCCCAGAGCTTTTCCCCTCCTTAGGTCAGAAAGGGCTAAGCAATCCTGCAAGCCACTCAGCATAGCTCAGCACAAAGAAGCTGGGGCAGTTATCTCCAGGCACCTCTTACCTTCGTCGGGCTGCATGGAGAACTCATCCTGGACGCCATCCTGGGCCTCCAGGCAGGTCGCTGGCACCCAGCCTTGCTCCTCTGATGTGCTCACAAACCACCAGCCTGGGAACAAAGCAGCAGGAGGATCAGCCAAGGACACCCACCAGCCAAAAAACACCTCCCTCCCTACAAGCCCTGAGTCTGGGGGGCTTTGTCCCCTCTGTGCTGCCATACAGGAGGCTGAGGTTACCCCGAAAGGGAGCACACACAGCAGCAAGGGAGAATCGCAGCTGAACGATACCCAAATGTACAGCTCCCTCCCCACGGTCACAAAAAATGGGACAACTCAGAAGTGAATGACTCCAGCCACCTCATTTGCTATCTTTTTTATTTTTGTTTTTCCCTTCATGGTTCATTTTCTCTCAGTATGGGTCAGCAAGTCCAGTCTAATTAGCCGAGATGAATACACTGTCTGCAAATCGATAACTGACTCCTGCTGCGCTCTCGCCTTCTTAACATTTGTGAAAACAGCAGATTTTAAAAGCTAGGAGCAAACGCAGGATTAAAACACAAGCTCTCCCAGCGGAAACCTGGCCAGCTCCACAGAGGCCACTAACAATCCCGGGCCACCCTGGGTGTACAATCAACATAAACGCGTGCTCCTCGGTTATGAAAAGCACAAGCTATTTGTGTCTTTAGGGGGGAGAAAAATAAAGACCAGCGTTATTTTCAGAGCCTCACCAGCAAGTCATTTAGAAAGACAATGATTGTCAGGAAGGGAATCAACAGCTACCTGCCTGGAAGTGAAAACCAGGGCTGACATTTCATAAATAAATGATTTGCCATACCTTTTGAATTGGCTGTGTTAATAGGTTTCACTTGCTTTAAGATTGCTTTTATTTTCCTCATTCTCAAGCACGGCTGCTGGTTCAACTAATCCTCTTGGGACTGGGTTTCCAGAATTTAAAAATCTATTTTCTTGATTTATCTGTAAACCCCCCTAAGCAACTTCTATTACCTTTGGGGAATAAATTCCCCTTTTCAACCAACTCCAGAAGGCGGACCTATGACACAACACATTCCCCTTGCAAAGGTTAAGAGCAAGTTTAGCTTTAGCAAGCGAACATCTGGGCTGCCTGCCCCTGCCCCAGGGCCGAGTGCTGCATGGTGTTCTCCTTTGGAGGAGGCAGGAATTGCACAAAGGGGGCTTTACACGGTGCTGCTGCCCAGCGTCCCCCTCATCAGCCACTGTATTTTTCAGCACAAAGAAGCACAAAATGAGAATGTAAAAGATGGACGGCGCCTGGCGCTCAGCACAGCAGATAGTCAGACCCTTCCTTGAAAGAAAGTCCCTAAGTCTCATCCGTGCTCATACAGAAATCCTGCAGACTGATGCTGCTCCCTCCACATCTCACTTAAGCTGCCCATCCAAGGACATCCCTGCGGGGTGCCCGGAGGCTGTTCTGCTTAAATTCCTACTAAGAAGACACTGACAAATCCAGGATTGCTATTCCTGTCGCTGCTCTGAGAGGCGGAGCAGATCCGAAGCCCTCTGCCAAGCCAAACTCTCTGTACCTGATTCGTTCTTCTCAATGATATCCACCACCTGGCCCACGCACAAGCTGATTTCGGAGCTCTCCTGCTTCTGGTAGTCCGCCACCACGACATACTGCTCCAGCACCAGGGGATCGACCGACGCAGAGTCAGCTCCTGCACAGGGGGACAAGAACCCAGCCGTGCGCCGGGGTCAGCACCAGCTCCCGAGAGCACGGGCCACCGCTCCCGAGCGCCTGCTGGCCTGCGAGCAGCTCCAGGACACCCTGGGGACCCCAGCGTGAGAGAGGTGAGCCAAAGGCTTGGGCAGAGTGAGGACAGAGACCAAACCAGCAGCCAGGTGAGATGGGGACAGCCAGGTGAGACCTCGCGCTCGCTCCCACCTCCTGCTCTCACACGGAGCCGTCCAAGCACCGCCACCACCGCCGCGGGCGCACAGCATCCTGCTCCCTGCTGCTGGACACCGCTGCGCAGAGCAGCTCAGACCCCAGCTCAGCACACACCGCCCGCAGGGAGGTTTTCTGGTCTTAAAAAGCCTAGCCACCCAGATGGAGGGGCATTTGTAGGACACAGCAGCATCCCCCAGCCATCATCACCCTACTTGTGCCTCGCCGGCTGTTTGCTGTCCCAGCTACTTGCTCCTCTAACCCTTCTCAGCTCCTGCAGCAGATCCTAATTCGGTGCCAGAAAAACAACCCACTGAGACGAGGGGCAAACGGGCAGGATGTGCAGAAAGCAAAGCACTCCCTGAGCCAGGAAGGGGCCTGAGAACTGACGGAGGGCTGGATGCACCCAAGGAACCCGGTGCAGCAGCGCTGGCTGTGCCGAGCCCGGCCAGGCTGAAGGTGGCACTGCAGGCTAAGGCGAGGGGACAGCCAGCACTGCCCCACCGGCCCTGCCAGGGGACCAGCAGGCACCAGCCAGGCACAGCAGGGTGACGCTGATTTATTTTTTCCAGGCACGTTTTCATTTAGTAGAGTGGTCTGGATATGGATCCAGCCCTTTTGCTTGGCGCCTCCTACCAGGGCAGTACTGGGACAGAGTTTTCAAGTCAAATCCATCTCTGCTGTAGAAACGCAGCCCCACGTTTGTCTTTACACATGGAGACAAACTCCCCTGTTCCCCAAAGCTGCAGGGGTTTGCTGTGTACGAGGAGATCACGAAGCGACCCAGGGCTTTGCAGACCTGCGGGTGCTCAGCACCAAACCCAGACCCCTCAGCCCCTCTGGGAGGGCACTCAGGGGGGCTCAGCCTCACGCTGAACCAGCCACAAGGCACTTGGGTACTCAGGGCACAGGCAGCACTTGCCCAGCTGCCTACAAAAGCATCCAAGGAGCAAAAAGGTGTCAGAAACACCTGCACTCTTCTCCCCTCTGCTCTAGCCTCCAGCCCAACACTTTGCCTTGCAGCTTCCCAACCTGCCAGCTGAGGATACTTACACTACCCAATTCTCCCAGGTGCAGTAGGAATTAATTAATATTTGCCCAGTGCTTTGGAATTAGAACAGTATTAATTACTCTAGCAGGAGTGATTGTGGGTGTTAAGTTGTACTTCCAGGGGCTGTGCATGTACTCTGAGCAGGGGGCCTCACGTTTTGGATCAAAGGCAGAAATCACATCTGCTCCAGCCCTCTGGCTGCTACAGCATGGCAGATACATGGGATGATTACCTCCCAGTCTCAGAAGGGTTTGGGAAAGAAATGATACAGAGTGCTGGTCCCTTGGGATATAAAGGCAAAGCACAGCAAAGAAATTGGGGCTGTGCATCAGGAAGAAATGTCCACAGCCTGCTATGCTGCAAGAGGACCCAGTGGCTCCCCTGCCATGTGAGATATCTCAGCCTGATAAAAGAACTTTCTTACGAGGGAACCTATTGCAGGGCACGATCCTGCAGTGACCAGAGCAGGAGGGATGAGCAGAGATGGACGAGATCCAACAGGTCTTCAGCGGTGCTGGAGCACTCTGCTCCCCCACCGGCAAGTTCTGCTAAGGCCGAGGTCACCACCTCTCAAACTGGTTCTGAGAAAGAAAGACCACAGCCACAATTTAACTGAAATGCTTTTTCAGGACAGTCTCATTTAAAGGAGGAAGAGGCTAATTGTCCGTGTCATCCTGCCATAAACAGCTCTCTGCAGAGCTGCAGGTGAGCTGGCCAAGTGCACAGGATCTGTTACCACTAATGAAAGCTTCCTCCGAGCCATAACCCAGAGGTGGGGCACCAGGCAAAACTAAAAATAGCCCTTTAAAGTGAATGGAGGATGCTAGGAAATTGGGGACTATCTGTTCTACTAGCTCAATTAAAGGTTTGCGCTTAAAGTGATCAGAGGACTTACCCAGCCCCCGAGAGCAGAATAACAGCTACAGGAAGAGAGCAGGGCTCTCCTTTCTGCCTCCCTGGCTGTAATTACACACAATGCCGTGAGGCTATTTGTAGTTTCAGCAGGCAATTCTGGATCCTCCAATGTACCTATTAAACCAGCAACAGAAGCGGCAAACTAAGCTTGGAGGAAGACGTAGGAGTTAATTTCAGGAGTGCATTCACCTGGCATAATCATCCTCAACCACAAAAATACGTGGTCAAGTTACAATAAAACATCCTATTTATGGGCAGACTTGGTCTCTTAAGAATAGCAATGGCATAAACTTACTCATAAAAATAGTACCTAAAGCTCTGTAGCTGGGGAGGGGAGGAAGGATTAGCACAGAACAGAGCCCACAGGAGAGGAGTTGTGTAGAACAGTAGCTAGGAGCACAAAGCTTGTATCCCCTGAATATTTTTGAGACTGACACAAACGTGGCCTAGAGAAGGGATGTGCATTGAGCCGAGAGACCACTGGGGTCCTTGGACTGGACTTGCAGAACAGACGCTGGCTATAGATGCTGGAGAGCCGCAGAGGAGATGCACTCACCCAAAGCAGTGAGGTGTACAAAAACAGGTAGGAAATCTCAGATACAGGGTTGCTCCAAGATTTCATGTTTCCAATTTCTGCCTTTGCACTACCAGTGCCAAAAAATAAGGAGTCTCTTAACAGTATGGACACTGGTGCCTTCAGAGAGAAGCAAAGAGCTCAGGACTGAAATAAAAGTGGGGGCACAGGTATTTGGGTATTTGTTTTTAACGCTTGTCCTTGCTATACACTCCAGCCCCTGCCTACTGCTCTTTCCAAAAATGTCGTGCTTTGGCTAAGCTTTCTCTGTCCTAGTTCTCTGGTCTGTGCCGATCAGGCCCAGTGCTCTCAGGCCAGCCCCTCTTCTCCCAGACCTGAGGAGCCTGCGAAGATCAGCGCTGCAATCCCTCTCATCCCTCCAGGGATTCTTCCTGAACTAGGAAATAATCACATGTAACTAGCACTCACCAGTGGAGTTTCAGAATGGCCCTCCTATCGCTTCTGCAGGATGAGAGCTGTGCTTTCATTGTGCCTCATCAGACCAAAGACTGTGGTTTGGGGTCTCTGAGCCACTGCGGGAACATTGCTCAGCACAGCAAAAGGGATGCAGCCAGGAAAGAAAGCATCTAAAACAAAACTAGCAGGGGGATAGGGGAGCTATTCTGCCAGTCTCCTAGGGCAGTTCCACCCAAATAAAAACTGCTGAGAGAGTTTCAGGCTCCTGTGCACTACATTAGTGCCACAACAAACCTATGAATCTCCATCTGCTTTCTGTAGAACTCAGAAAGGAGGAGCAAACAGAAATGTTTGAAACAGTACTGGGGACCAATTATGATGATTACTTTTAGATGTACCTAAATCAGTGGCCAAGTCAGGCTTCAGAGTCCCAGAGCATGAGGAATAATGAATAAAGGCATGTAATGCCCACCAGCTCATACTAAGCACATCCCTGTCTCTGGGTCTCCTCACAACACCAAACATTTGTCCCTTGAGCCTCTTGGTCACCAAGGAATCCCGTAGGTACCACTGCACCCACTTTGTATCCCAGTGCTCGGTTACAGCCCATTAGAAAGCAGGGCTCGCTGCTGCCAGGCACCCGGGAGCATTTGTTCTTTGCAGTGCTACCCTAAAGAGCAGCTCACCCCCGCTCTGGGGGTGCTGGAGAAATAAGCGACTGGGAGACAATTCCAGTTGTGTTTGTCAGCAGCTGTTGGGTGCCCCCTCCTCAGGGACATCTCATATTAAAAGAGCCTTTTTTGTGCCATGCTGTTCTGCTCTCAAAGCAGGCCTGGCTTGAGTGATAGATGAAGCATCAGGGGCGTCTTCAAGGTAGAATAGGGCTCCAGGTGACAGCAGCAGAATCAAATTTGGTTTCTTTTGCCAGAAAATAAAAGATGGTGAGAGGAGTCTCTAAACATGCCTGGAACAAAGCACCAGCCCTTTGTAGTGATACACAAACACCTCTCCCTGATGGCTACTGCACATATGCCATGGCCAAACAAGGGGATTGCAGTGCCACGTCTAAACATCATGCCTTGTCCTGCCAGAACAGGGCTCTGGCTTGGAAGTTACCCCAAATCTCCCTCTTCTCTCCCTCTCAATGGTGCCAAGCAAGCAGCATCCCAAAGAGCATTTTCTCGTTGACCTCACAACATCACCGTGTCACACATAAACCTGCCGTGCCTACAGGGCTGGGGGCAAGAGGCAAAGCGGAGCTGCCATAAACCTGCTTCACTAATGGCTCTGTGTGAAGTGGGAAGGCAGAACGAAGCTGAGTGCACAAACAGGAGAAAAAAATCAAGCCAGCGTCCTTGAATTAAATTCTGCCCTCAAAGAAAATTTTTGCTGCATAACTCAGATCTTTTTCTTCTCCTCAACACTAGAAAGGTCGTCCTTTTTCTCCTGCTTAATGTAAGTGGACTGGGTTCAAAGCGATCTAAACACACACTGATCTCACGGGGAAACATAATACCCTTCCTTACTCCCCAGATCTTCCTACTGAGCCATCAGACGAGACATTCTGAGACAAGGGATTCTGTGTCTTTATTTTACCTCCGCTTTATCAAAAGAGAGGAGAAGGAAAAAAAAAATCATAGCCTGTTTTCATCCCCACCCACAGCCAGATGCTTCTCTCTGCCTCCACATGGGTTTGCACTGACAGCAATAACTCAGCTTGAAGCAAAACCTTCAGCACATCTCCTGTGACAAAGCCGGGGAAGACCCACCACTTCAGCATGAGAAAGCCAGTAAAAAAAATGCAGTCTGTGATTACAAATGGCTAATGAGAGCTATAAAACTGCCTTCCCAAGGCCCAGCTTTGACAGACATACCTTGCAGCTGTCAGAGTTTGAGGAGGGCATGTTTTCCAAAGGTTTTAATCATACTGGTAAACCCCTGCTAGTCCACCAGGAGACCACTCAGTTATGACCTGCCCATGAGAACGGAGCAAAACCAAGACCTACTGTTCAAGCAGGCAACATGTGAGGTTTCCATACACATCCTACCCCCGGTCTCAGTTAGGAGGCTGGGACGTGAGCTGTTCTTGAAGGAGGAATGCCCTTCAGATAAGAAAGTAGAATTAAGTCTTAAGTCTCCCCTGTACCTTTTCTCTCTCCTTAGATAGGAACCCATGTATCTACAGGTAAATTTGCTCACGCAGTTTATGGCAGTGTCAACTCCCAGGCCAGAAACCTTGGGCCCGCAGCCAAGCTCCTGTCCCACTCCCACCGCACCTCCTGGCTGCTGCCCCGTGTCCACCAGGCACCACAGGAAGCTACGGGGGATGTGACAGCTTTTTGCAAGGGGCTTGCCCACCCAGAAAGAGCAGGTGTCCCCCAGCGAAAGGCGAAGCGAGAGCAAGGCCCAAGGTAGCGCGCGGCTGTTACTACCTCTCTGCAGGAAAGAGGCCGTTCTCTGGATAAACCCTGATGGAGGAACAAAAACGATGGGAGACAAGGCGTGAGGAGAGGAGGGACACGACCACGGGGGTGGCAGCAGTGGGAACGACTCGATGCACGAGCAAACAGGGTGGTTGGTGCAGTGTGTGGAGCTGTAGGTGTCCGTCAGCCCCGTTCCTCCATGGGACGCCTGTGGGATCAGGGCAGCAAGGAGCCCCAGCCCCTGCTGTCCTCAGCCCTGTCCCTTCCTTGGGGGCACAGAGGGATGTGGGGCTGGGACTTGGAGGGGACATGCTGTGTCGGGAGCCCCGTGCCCCACAGGGGAGCACAGCAGTGCTGCTTGCCATGGGGTCAGGCTCCCACACCCCGTGACAGGAGACCAAGGCTGTGAGTGAAAGGAGGAGGTGGTGAAGTGGGAGGAAAAGAGGAGTGCTTACCAGATTTCTTCTTTCCAATGGGCTCCCTGAAAAAGAGAAGGAAGAGTGTCAGCAGAGGGATGGGGACGGCTGGCTTGCTGGCCACAGGAAAAAAACATGCAGGAAAATACAGTGGCACTGGCCTTGGCGGTGCAGCTGACCCCCCTCACACCAGCTAATGTCCCCGTGGCCCACAACCAGCTGTGCAAACAGGCTGTCTCTGCCGCACTTGTTGAGTAATTAAATGCTTTTGTCTTTCCCAGGATGAGGGCTGCTGGCCTGGACTCCTCAGCGGCTTGCTCTGATGGCCACAACTCTCACTGTGCCACTTGGAAAAGGAGGCAGACTAGAAAAATCTGGCAGCAGAGTCAGGTGCAGGGGAAACCCAAACCCCCAAAACTGCTCTCAGCACAGACCACAGCTCCCACAGAAGTGGACACCACTTTGAAGACAATGAGGGAAATACTGAAGTTGCTCCATGTCCTGCACCCCTCTTGGAGACAAGGATGGGGAGCAGCTGGGGAAGGGGCAAGGATTTATGCCCCAAAAGAAGACAACTCACTAAAATGGTGTAGAGAGGAGGAACACAAGCAGGAGCTACTGGCTGTTATGAGGAGGCAATGAGACAGCTCCAGCAGAAGTCCCCTCATTATGGACAGCGCTGGCCACTTGGATGACAAGATGGGTTAGAAACCGGAGGTTCTCAGTCCCTTCTCTTATTTGAATGCTGCTAAGAAACATGGTTGCTGAACAGCCTTAAACTCAGGGCATGATAAAAAACCAAACAAGCCCAAGAAAACATGGGCTGAGACAAGCCTCAGAAAAATCACAGATAGTAAACCAAGGCACCAAACCAGGCTGAAGTCCAAACAAATGCAGCAGCACCGTCCCCAGCTCCAACCGCAGTGGTCTGTCTTGCTGCAAAAGGGTTCTCAACACTTTCACACAAATCGCCACTGTGGCCCTGAAATATTGCTGTAGAATGGGGTGATGACAACCTGTAATTCCTCTAGCTGTGAGCTGCTTGACCACTGCTTGGAAAGGCAGCTGGACCAGCCCAGGTAGAGCCTAGGAGCCCCTTCCTCTGCTTACAAAATCTGCTGGCAGAACAACCTTTCCCTGTCCCTTTCAGGCCGAGCAGAGAAATCCCTCTGTGTTCAGCAAGAAAGCCAGCCAAAGCTGGGCTACGCTTTGTTCTCTTTCAAGCTTATCTGCATTTTCAGTCCATGATTACTGCAGATGTTTTATTCCCCCGGAGCGATGGGGTGATGCAGGGACTCGGCGGCCTTCAGAGCCTGCCTGCAGATCCCGGCCGTGCTTTCCCTGTGTGCTCGGCCCAGGCAGCACCACTCCTACTGCTCCGGGGACACACACAAAACTGTTCCCTGACCTTCAGGATGCGGCAAGGAGGAAGCCAGGGACACAGGAAAGCACTAACTGATGCAGCAAATAGCTGCTGTTTTACCCCTCCTGTGCAAGGCCCTCAGAAACATATTCAGGCCTCCCTGACTGAGGGGATGTGGCATGGGCGTTCATAGTCCTGATCCCAAACAAAGAGGAGGGCACAGGAGCTATTGAACAACCCAGCACTGCTGACTGCTGATGCCCAGAAGCCCCAGTAAGGAGGCTCAGCCCTCCAGCCCCATATCCCAAACCCCGTGTCCTAGCCTAGTCCCACTAGTAACCCCCACGGCCTCTTCTTTGGCCTTAGGTAGGCACTGAGGAGTTAACCTCATCTGCTAGCAATGCTTTATCCTCCCTGTCCTCTCCACTCCCCCTTTCCCTTTGCATCTGAAACCTCTGCAACTTGCCCACTGAGCCATCAATAAAATTAAATTAAACGCAGCAAAGATGGAGCAGAAACAAACGCGTCACCGTGCCTATCTTTTAAGTTCAGAGACCAGAGAACTGTGTAAAGACCTGAACACCGTGTCCCTGATGCAGACACCAAGGAAGAATCTAAGGGACAGTGCAGCTCAAATACATTTCTAAGCAGAGACCAAAGTGCAGAGCTAAATCTGAGCTCATTGATGAGCAGGCACGGGGCCGGGGCAGCCCTCAGCCACCATGGGCTGCTGTGGGGCAGGGAGGAGAAGCAAGGCCCGGCAGGCACGTAGGAGATGGCAGGTGGGCACTGCATCACCCTGATGGAAAGAGCTGCTGCATTTCCCCTGCCATCTGCTAAACTTCTTACTCTAACTCATCCCCCCGTTTCCTTTCGCCGCCTGCTCTGTCTGGGTGAGGGGGCAAGGAAGGAGCTGCAATTTCACTTTGCTGCTGGGTTGTTTCTGGCACGGATGCAGAGAGCCGCAGGTCTGAAGACCAGCAGCCCCGGCCCACCACCTCGGAGGGGACAGGAGCTCAGACAAGACAGGAAACAGCAACAGACTCCCGGCAGCATCTCCTCCTCCTCCGCCGGTCCCCACGGAGCAGAGAAAGGCACGCAGCAGAGCCTGCATGCACGGCCTCCTGGAAACTGGTGGCTCAGGCAGAGGAGGAGGAAAGGCCACTGCCTGCCACTGGGAAACTCATTTAACTCTCACCCTCACAACAGTCGTGCTGTGCAGATGAACCAGGCAGTCACAGCACGACTGCAAGGCACCGGTACACAGTAATGACAGCGTGTCCCCACAGAGCTCCCCGAGAGGTAAAACCCAGCAATGGCTCTCCAAATGCTTCCCAGGATTTTCCCAGTCCCTTGTCAGGAACACTGAAGGCAAAGGTTCCCGTGTAACGGGAATCTCACTTAAAACTCTTTAAAACAAACAGAAGCAGGCTGTTCTTCAGTGATACATATTAAGCTGTTAACCTTGCTGCAGGATGTTGTGGATGCTGAGAGTTTTCACAGGCTTACAGGGTCACAATTCAGGCAAGAAATGCTAATTATAAAACCAGGAAAGCCCTGAAGGCTAGGACAGTGTCTAGAGAGGAGCTGCTACAGGCTTGCTTGACTTTAAGCAAGCACTCAGGGTTGGTGGCTGCTTAGCTAAGAAGGCGGCTGTGCTGCAGGGGTGGCTCTGCAGTGGCTGTGCAGTGGGACTTGGGGGAGGAAGATCCCATGGGAGTGTCCTGGGAGGAAGGCTCTGGCACGGCACAGCACTCACAGACCTCAGCACCACCCATGGTGTCCCACTGCCCCAGCCAGGGCACAGAGAGGGAGAGGGACAGCAGAGCACACACACGAGGACGACAGCTCCAGCTGCTACAACACCATTCACACAGGACCCACAATCAGGATGAGATGGGTCTGAAGTCACCATGCCAAGAAAACACTCCCCATAGAAAAGCCTAGACCTTGTAAAGAAAAAAAAATAAGGAAAGGAAAATATCCTTCCATAATACAGCGAAGTCATCAAAATAGCTATCAGGAGGAAGCTCTGCTTGGAAGCACTCAGCAAGCGTGGAGATGTTAGAAGCCTTAGCAAGGTTTATGTGAGCAAGACAGAGTGAGAAACGGGGTACAACGAGGGTCCTGTTTAAGAGAACTGATGTTTAGCAAATGTTCCACAAAGGACTGAAAGGGCCCCTGTCACCCAAACTGCAGTGCCTGTGCCAGTCCTGTATTTAACCACTGGAGAGCTATCCGAGCCAAACCTTTGGGCTCCGAAGGCTGCCCTGTGCCCTGCTAGCACAGAAAACCAAGTGCTCTCTCCATGCAAGGAGCTTACATTGGAGCAAATCGTGTTTCAACCCTGTTAATACTTCATTCTATTATCAGCTAGGAAAGACAGTTCTCAGCCGCGAGGGAGGGAGACCACTATTTTGGAGCTGAGATCTAGCCCGAGCTCCTGGTGAATCTGCACGTAGGCACCAGCAGAACTGCAAAACAAACAATTCATTATACAGGCTGTAATTTGTCTGGATAGCAGGACATGGCTCAAAAGCCACAAGCCAACAAGCCTCCCTACCCAAGTCAACATCCATCAACTCAGGGAGCTCCAGCTTACAGGCTAAAGTGACTGGAAGGCTTCCTACATGGGGCAGCCACTCCGTCTTGCAGCAGGGACCTGAGCTTCCCCATTTTCTGTTAAATCCCCATCACCTGGCACAGGATTTGATGCCCCTGTCGCCCCCCAAAACACCACACAAGGGTTACAAGGAAAACTTTTGCTCCTGGCACAGCTCAGCTACAAGGAAAGGTAAGCACATGAAAAGCTACAGGGAAGCTAGGAAGGAAAGAGACTTGCTTCAGGGAGACACTAGTCATAAATCTGCTCGTATTTATGGAAATAAGAGAAAGAACCAGATTTGCTCTCTGTTACACTGGTGGAAACACACTTCAGTCTAGCATCGTCTCCTGGTGCTTTGGACCTAACACAAATCTTTCACCCGCCAAGGCTGCTGGCACAGTGGCCCTACGCAGGACCTCTCAATCACACGTATGGAGACAAGCTGGCACAAGCTGATCACAGCCGTCTTGATTCTCATTTTGGCCCAGCAGTCTCTTCGTTGATTTATTGGAGCTGGTGACTGCCTGGAGTCCCCGTCAGTCTGGGTGCAGGAGGTGATCCATTATTTTGAGTGCCATCGCCACCCCACTCAATTGCCCAGCACCAGAACCTCAGTGTTAATAGAAACATTAGAAATGAAATAAATAAATAAATAGAAAAATAAAGAAAAATAAACAGCGAATGTGAGGTTTGCTGTAGGCATAACACGCTCTGCTCCTCTGGTCATGCCCCAGCTCATCACCATGCACCTCCTTCAGTCCTCCACCCCAGCAACGAAAACATCCCCAGCAGCAGAGCTGGATTGCCCTTGAAACACTCCCAAATCCTCTCTCTGTAGCCAAGGGCTGTTTCGGAGAAATAGCAGGAATGCAAGCTGGGGATGTGAGCTCAGATGGAGCCTGTACATCCATTAGGGAAAGAAAATGATTTCTAAAAGTTGCCCTGGACTTTGGCTGCTGTCAGTGGCCCTGCTGCAACTGGAACTTGCCCCGAGTGTGCCCAGGGGAACTGCAAAGCTGTAGCCACACAGGGCAGCCAAACTGATGGGGACATTTTGCTGGTGCCCCAGGGGAACAGAGAGCTCCAGGTGGGCTCCA